GCCGGGGGACAGCCGCGGCTGGGGGTCCCGTCCCGAAGTCACCCGTGGGAGCGGGCGGGCGCCCCCTCGGTCCGCGGAGGCCGCCCACGCGCGGGGCAGGGCAAGTGTCGTCGTCCCCCCGTCCCCCGCGGGCGGGACACGCGTGGGGCAGCCCGGTTGCGCTCGCCGAGGGAGCCTCGAGTGGTTCCGTGGTGCGCGGGGGAGGAGGAAAGTGGCTGCACGATGTTTGCAGTCCCGGAGACTTTAATCCTTCACACTGAAATGGCCAGAGCCTCTTTTATTGCACAATAATAGGAAATAATAACTTAGGGCTCCTAATTGTTTGCTTTCGCTGAAAAGGACCTTCCTCTGGTCATGCCGGGTAAGCGGAGGGTTTACCACTCAGTTTAGCGGACAACAATAAATGGTGTCAGGCCCCGAAGAAATCTGCTATTAGGTGTCTTCTCAGAGGACAACAAAAATCAGACAGACAAAAGATCTGACCACGGGGACTATTGTCTTTCAGCTATGTGTATACATGTATATATAAAGCTTAGATTTTTAAAGGCAATTTTTTAGCACGTGAGGAAGTTTCAAGATAGTGCTGAAAACCTGAAATAAGCTTCAACAGCAGGTCAGAGCATGCTGATCTGATTCGGATTAACTTCCCATTAACATTTAATGGTGGTTTGGACCTAGCAAGGACAGAAAGATTTTTGTCCAGGTCTGTAGGTGACAACTGTTTACCAAAGAGCTGTTACCGACTGTGAAGTCTCTGCCTTAGTCTAAATGATGGACTTTGTTGGCTACAGGCCTTATAAACATAGGAGATTTGTTTTATTCCTATTTATTCAAAACAGGAAATCGATGTGTATTTCTAAAATATTCCAGGTGGTGCACGCCAAGGCCAAAAAAACTTGACACAATCGTGAAAAAGCCTCATCATGATAACTTAAGTGGCTCCATTTCACAGCTCCATTGTTTGAGAGCTATTGACAAATGACTACTAAAACCCGGGAATCTCAAGCAAGTCCGGACCGTGTTACTTTGGTCACTTGGAGTTATACCAGCAAACCATTAGTTGGTGGACTCTTTCAATTCAGTTGGTGACTTGTGAATTATCCCCTGAATGTCAGATACCCACCCATGTCATAAAGACATAATCTCTAATGGGACTAATTGAGGTATAGTTTTTTTTCCTACCAGACTGATACCCACCCATGTCATTAAGCTTTAATAATAAATAGAACTAATTGTCCTTTCCCCCCCCCCCCCATATTAAAAAGGGCCTGACATTAAACGGTCAGAGAGGTTGGGCTCATGCTTGTTCTTCAATTGTGGTAGTGACTTTTTCCCTTTTTTTAAATCTTTTTTTTTCTTTCCTGAAAGTGTTGTTTGAGATGTCAAAGATGTTACTACAATTCTAGGAAACGGTTACTCTAACTTTTTCACTCTCCAGTCAGCTTGGTAGAAGCAAAGCAGTATAAGGATATGTATTAATGACTAAGAATTTATCTGCTGACTTTGTAGAAGACAATTATTGCAATGGGTATGTGTGCATGCATGTGGCCTAGATATTTTCAAGTAGCTCTTTAAAGGAGTAGATTAGATCGAGGGTTTTGTTTGAGTACATTTCAGTAAAAACGAAGTCAAAGTCAAAACCAATTGCTGTCTGGTGGCCTGTAGGAAATGAGTCGGTGCTTACAGCTAGAAATACTAATGCTAAAGACAGATTGAACTTTGCGTTTGTTGGTACAATTTAGGCAAATTATTTGGGTTAAAAGACTGAACTGGCACGGAAAATGAGCTGCCATCTCATTAGTCTTAGAGAAGGGGCCATTTCCAGGAGACCTAATTTAATCAAGCTTGTTTAAGGACTAAAAATCCCATCTGACAAACATGTAGACTCAATACCTTTAACATGATTTTAGCAGGCTGAGTTACAGTCAGCCAGGAGCCCAGACTATGACCTGCTAAAACCGAGCAGAAGATTATCTTAGTAGACTTTTAGTAAGTTTTACTTCTGAAAAAGGAGGGCCTGACTGAACTAAATCGACTGAAAAAAAAAATATCTTTTTCTCTTGCTGTCTAGACAAAGCCTTCAGGGTTTCCCCGCGTGTCAATCTGTGCCATTGCTTTGAAAACCTGTGTGGAGAAACTTATTGATCGTTTCCTATGCTGTAATTCTCCTTGGCTGTTGCAATGGGACTTCCCATGGGCATGTCATTTTAAAAAGTATTCTGTCTTTGTCTAGACAGGTATAAAAGTTGTATTTTTAGAATGACTTCACAAACACTTTTTAACACCTTTTAGCATTTGACTTGTCCTATCTATGCAAGGTTTCAAAACGTGTTAGCCAAGCTGCCTTAGCTAATATCTTTAAAAACACAACTTTTATCCTA